TGCTGGTTCCCTTTTCCTTCTCCTGTTTCTGTGCGTGCATGCACGGCGGGCAGACGTGGTGTCGATTGCGAAGACGGACGAGAACTTCCGTCTGCTTTACGACAGCAAGGGCCGCTTCACGCTGCACCGCATCACGCCCGACGAGGCCAAGGTATTTTCCGCGCCTCTCCACGCTCACCGCTGGAGCCGCAGCGCAGGACTATGGGGGAGGGAAGGGTAGGGAAAGGGGCAGGGGCATGCGTAAGACTGGGCAGGTGCTGGGAAGAAATGCTGTCATGGCGCGGGTTGTGTCGGCGTGGCGTGTGAGCCAACGCACAGTGCGCTCTTGCGGCAATACGGGGATGCTGCACTCGTGTGAGGAGCGAGGGACGAGTGCCGTTACTGTCCTCCAAGGCCGGATAGTTGGGAGGGTTCTGTCCGGGCAACGCTTTAGTTCGGCAGCTGTTCAGTGCGAAGCGAGGTGGTTATGGGCCCTTGCCAAGGAAATCCTGGCGTTTTAACGGATGACGGAGAGCGGGTTCATGGAGCAGTTTATGTGGCACGTTTCGTTGCGGTAGCCGAGTGCCAAGCCTGTGTTGTCATTTGCACTCATCTGCACGCCACTCTCATTGCCGATCCCCGAGTACTACTCATCTTTACTCTGCCCCGTTTGCGTTTCTCCTTCCACTCGTCCCTCACCCTCCCTCTCTCCGCACTTCCTCCCTCCCCTTCCCCTGTTGCGCGCAGTACAAGCTGTGCCGCGTGCGCGCGCAGCGCGTGGGCGACCGCGGCATTCCGTACATCGTGACGAACGACGGGCGCACGATCCGGTACCCCGACCCGGTGATCAAGGTGAACGATACGGTGAAGCTGGACCTGGAGAGCGGCAAGGTCGTCGAGCACATCCACTTCGACACCGGCAACCTCTGCATGGTCACTGGTAGGTGCTACCTGGGGGAGGTGACCTCTGCATGGTCACCGGTAGGAGCTACCTGGGGGAGGTGACCTCTGCATGGTCACTGGTGAGCAAGGGGCTGGGGGAGGTGGCATCTGCATGTTCTCTGGTAAAAGCACACAGGGGGAGGTGACGTCTGCATGAGGCCAATGGCAGAGGGAGATGCTGTCTGCATGTCACCGATGAGCGCACACCAGGGGAGGTGCCATCCGCATAGCATGCGGTGAGCGCATCATAGGGGGAAGTGCTACCTGCATGGTCCCCGGGTGAGCACACTGCAGGGGGAAAAGCTACCTGCATGGTCACCGGGTGCTATCTGGTGGCGCAGGGGGATGTGCTATCTGCATTGTCACTGGTTAGCCTGGCGGCAGGGGAAGGTCCTATCTGCATGGTTACCGGTTAGCCGCTACAGGGGCAGGTGCTATCTGCAAGGTCACCGGTGAGCGCACTGCAGGGAGTGGTGCTGCCTGTGGAAAGGTGGTGTATGTTTTGCTACGGGTGAACCACGGGTTGGGGGTTCATATGGTGCTAGTCACGGGTGATTTCTGCTACTTAGCATAGGCCGCACAGTCACGTCTTTCACCCACCTTTTCTGTCCACACGGTCCCGTACCCTCTCCTTTTCCTCCTCCCTATTGATTCCTTCTGTCTCGCAACGGCGCAGGTGGGCGCAACAGGGGGCGAGTGGGGGTGATGGAGCACAGGGAGCGGCACAAGGGCAGCTTCGACATCTGCCACATCAAGGACGCGGCAGGCCACCAGTTCGCCACGCGCCTCACCAACGTGTTCCTCATCGGCCAAGGCGCCAAGCCCTGGGTCTCGCTGCCCAAGGGCCGCGGCATCAAGCTCTCCATTGTCGAGGAAATGCGCAAGGCGCGCGCCGCTGCCAAGACCGCCGCTTGAACACGCATCTAGCTCTTGCTTGAGTCACTGCTGCTGCTGTGCAGGTGAGTTTTCTTTTGTTTCAACATTCTTATGCTGTAGCTGTGTCTGTGTTCGGTTCAAATAAACTGATTGATGCTTTATGGTTCTCCTTCCAGGCCCATGCTTCCTTTCGGCTTTCAGTATCTGTAACAACGCTGGCTGCAACCAGGCCTTTTTCGTCCAGAAATATTCCAGAATATATCCCGAGTGCTTTTGCTGTGGTCCAGTGTTTCTGCACTAGCCCAATACTGACTTGGATGTCGAATCAAGGCTGATTGTAGTGTGTAGTGTTGCCTGTCTTTGACACTACATGATACAACCGCAGCCTGGTATGAGCAATCGCCCTTGTACTGATTTAAATCTGTATTTTTTTGTTTCACGTCGAATGGAACCTTGGTATTCTTTTAGTAGTGGTATAAGCGAACTCAGATTACAGATCATCGGTACACTTCAGTAACAGGCCCCCTATAGTTGAATACAAGTACACCTCCCCAGCCCCCGGCCCCTCCAGTTTTTAGTGCTTTATTGTAAGCGCATCAGCGATTATATCCTGGTAACGCGGTTTGTTCGTAGCGTTTACATCAACAAATATTGAGCTACTTGTGTGTCTGCACCCACAAACGGGTATGGTCCGGTTATCATCCCGGAGAGGGCACGAAGCTCGCAGAGCTAGTTCGCCGGATTGCGCCTTGCATCGGCCCTGCTCGACAGGCACGCAAACCCTTCAGGGGAAGTTCGCGGCTGTTTCGAGTTTGGATTTTTTTCTACGGTCAGCCCGCAATCTGCTGTACCTGGGCTGTAACGCTTTGTAGCGTGAAGGGTTAAGGGTTAGCCTGTCGAACGCGACGTTAACCCTTCAAGTTCAGCCCCCCCGAAAGCTCCCAGCCCCTTCGCTCACGCGTAAACTTTAGCCTAGCTCTAGCCCAGCCCACCAATCCCCAGAATGGAGGTTGGCCAAGAGCTAGGCTAGGGTTTCATACGAGAGGGAATACCCACCTCGTACCCTACGAAATGTTTCCCAACAGAGCCCGTGCCCTAGCCTCTACCATCTCTGCCCTGAAAATGTCCCATCGTAGCACAACCAAACCAGCCAACAGCCAGATTTGTTTTGCCCTTGAGCTACCCAGGTTCCCATGCCATCCCTTTGCAAAACTTTGGACACTGCCCACAATGAAGATGGTGGAAGGAGGGGGAGCAACTTCGCCAAGACGACCCCCTCCTTCCGACCTCGGGAGGCGCTGCTTCCGATTCCGTGGGGGGGTAGGGGAAGTTACTTCGAAAACTCCTCTTAGCTCTAGCCTAACCCTAGCTCTCCACGGAGATGGCTGCCTATCGAACAGGGCGTCGTATGTTTCTCGCAAAACGTATGTTCGTGCAATAATTTGGCGGGAATGGTTTGGTAAAACTGGCGATGCCACTACAGTAACAAGCTTCAGAATCTCCATGCCGACACTGATCCTCCCCGCGACACTTCTTGTAGCTTCACTGCCCTCTCAGTAGTCTTAGCTTGTTCGCGGTGTTATCTTATAGAAACGGCAGACTAATGTAGATGAACAGCCATTAGTTTCTTGTTAGTCCCTCATTTCATGATGCCAGTCGGATCCCCTATTCAACGGTTGCCGGAGGAGCTGCTGTCTCAGATTCTGTATTTTCTGGTTCGACCTGATGGTCAGCTGCAGCACGCACTTGTTAGCAAGCAATGGCATCACACTGCGCACCGCTTGCAACATGAGCTCCACTTGCCCTACGGTCTCCTCATGGATCCGCGTCAGCTCGTTCAACTCCTGTCGTCGTTCCCTAACCTCAGAAAGCTCATTCTCTCGTCTAGCAGCCTCACCTCATGTTCGAATTTTCTGTTCTCTAGCCTCGCTGACGTGTGTCCGCATCTGACCGAGCTTCGTGTTGAATCGATGGGACGTGAATACAGTCAATCAGGCGTGAGTGAGGAGAGCCTGAAGTTTATTTTTGAGAAGTGTACTGGGCTGGAAGACCTCTCTTTGGAGTGTTCCGCACGTGCTAGCCTTCCTCCGTCAATCGACCGACTCACATTGCTCAGAAACTTAAACCTCAGGGCAAGGTTCACGCGTCTTCCCGACACCTTTACTTCGTTGCAGTCTCTCAGAAGCCTCGTGCTGAACTCTTTCAGTCTCCAGTCCTTGCCTCGAGATTTCGGCAATCTGGTTTCGTTAACGTCGCTCAAGTTGATCTGTTTCGGCTCGCAGTCCTTTCCAGAATCCTTCGGTGAACTTGCCAGTCTGAGCCTTCTCTCCATGGTGTACTGCTCCACGTTGCAACTGCCTGCCGCTTTCACCAAGCTTTCTTCTCTCGCCGTCCTGGAGCTTCGACGCTGCAAGTTCCTTCTCCCGTCGCCCATCAATTTTCCTCGACTGCGGAGGCTCGAAACCCTCATTATGGAAGAAGTCACGGGATTTCGCGACCTAATCGAGTCTCTTGAGCATCTGTGGTGCCTCAAGACTCTGGTTATCAAGTGCTGCAGCGATATCACGTCTCTGCCCGAGTCTCTCTTCCTCCTGCCTTCACTCACCAGTCTCACCCTTAGCACGTCACTAATTTCGGTTCTGCCAGACGAGTTTGCAAGGTTGTCACAGCTACGGGAACTCGTGCTGGATTTGAGGTGTCGCACAATAATCCTTCCTGATTCCATCGCTCTGGTTACTACACTGCAGGAGCTTTCCCTCAACAATATCTGGAACCTGAAGTCTCTGCCCGAGGAGTGCGGTCAGCTGATTGCTCTGGAAAAGCTGCACATGAACAACCTCCATCAGCTCACGCACCTTCCCGAATCCCTTGGGCAGCTGACAGTTCTTCGGGAGCTGAAAATTATGGAGTGTAGGCAGCTGCAGCAGCTCCCGGACTCCCTATCCCAGATATCTTCACTCGAGCACCTGGAGATTATCAAGTGTCCGGAAGTCAAGGTGCTGCCAGATGACATGGGGAACGGTCTGCCTCGCTTGAAGTATCTTCATTTGAAATGCTGTGCAGCTCTCACCCACCTCCCTCCATCCCTCTCCCGCCTGACGGCTCTCGAAACCCTCAAGGTTGTGGAAGCCATACGCCTCAAAGGCACTCTTCTAGATGGCTTCGGTTGCTTGACAAGCCTTAACGAGTTGGTTCTCCAAGACATGCCTCGCTTATCTGCCTTTCCTGCGTCCTTTTATGGCCTTTCCTTGCTTACCAGCCTGGAATTTAACAATTGCCCAAAAGTGACAGTCTTTCCTGAGGGGATCGAACGGCTGGAGGCGCTTGAGGTGGTCAAGATCGCACGGATGAAAGGCTTGAAGCATTTCCCTGCGTCGCTTGTTAGGCTGCCCCGACTGCAGGTGTTGGAGGTGCGGGGATGTGGTGGGGTTGGCGCGCTGCTAGGGGATGAGATAGTGCTCAAACGCACTGACAGGGGTTATGTGCCGGTCTGTAGCAGCAACGCCACCACCAGCAGCACCAACAGGGCATTGCTTCCATCCCTCCATAGTCTCAAATTGAAGTCTCTCCCTTTCTATACCCTCAGTCCATCCCTTGGCCAGCTATCCTCTTTAACGAAGCTGAAGCTTCTAGAGATGTACAGCCTTGAATCTCTCCCTGAAACCATCGGTCAACTCTCGCGTTTGAAAACCCTCCGGATTGATTCGGTCATGCGGTTGGAGGCGCTGCCTGACAGCTTGGGAGGGCTCTCAGGGCTGCGGATCATGAAGCTGGTTCACCTCATCACGATACGGCAGCTGCCAGAGTCTTTTGGGCAGCTGACGAAGCTTGAGACGCTGGAGATTATTGACTGCCACAAGCTGATGCAGCTGCCAGAATCCTTTGCCAATCTGTCCAAGTTGCAATCGTGCATCCTCACTAAGCTTGGAATCTCGACATTTCCAGGCAATTTCTGGAAATTGTCTTCCCTTGAAGAATTGGTGCTCCTGGGACTGAAGCAGGTCCGCAGCTTGCCAGAGTGGTTCTCTAAGCTGCCTAAGCTGCAGGTGCTGCGGGTGGTTGAATGCAAGAATCTGACTCAGCTGGCGTCTTCTATCCGACAATTGCCGACTTTGCGCGTGTATGATATCTGCGAGTGCCCTTTGCTCTCAGAGCGAGACAGGAGGGGGATTTTTGCAAGGGCAGGCGAGGAGGATGGGGTGGAGGGAGAGGGAGAGGCGGTTGATGAGGGAGAGGAGGAAGGAGGGGAAGAGGCAGAGGGTGGGGAGGGAGGAGATGCGATTGTGGAAGGGCAAGAGACGGACAGGGAGGCAGCAGAGGAAGCAGAGGGTGAGCAGGGAGGAAATGCGATGGTGGGAGGGGAAGAGGCGGACAGGGAGGCAGCAGAGGAGGCAGAGGGTGAGCAGGGAGGAAATGCGATGGTGGAAGGGCAAGAGGCTGACAGGGAGACAGCAGAGGAGGCAGAGAGTGGGGAGGGAGGAAATGTGATGGTGGGAGGGGAAGAGGTGGACTGGTGGGAGGAGGAGGAAGAGAGTAGTGGCGGTGAGGATTGGGACGTTTGGCATGAGTATGGCATGGACAGTGATGTTGACAGGGACGATGGGGGAGGCTGGGTGGTGAGTGATGACGAGGAGGAATAGCACCATGTAAGAACAAGGTGGAAGGAGGTTGTTATGGTAGAACGAGAAGTTGTGATCTTGAATGGAAGATGGGGGATGGGAACTACTAGCTTAGTTTGGGTTTATCTTGGTGTCGGTGCAATTGTGCAAGCTGCTTTGGTGTTACCGGTGTTCGCTTGTGAGAGTGCGTGTTGCTATTCGCACCTAAGGCGCCCCTTTGTGTGCTACTGTTATTTGCCGACTGAATACGAGCTGGTTCGCTGTTGTCTAGCATGGTGGTTCATGACTGTAAGAGAAGACCCATTTGCACCCACATAAGCATAACCACAAATATTCTCTTCTTCTTTTCCCCTATCTCACCCACAAACGGGTATGCACCACGCTGCCATCACTTTCTCAGCAAGCAGTGCCCTGCCCACGCATTTGGGGGGTGAACCTTGCAGAGTGGAGTCGAGATGGGAGTTCGTTGGTTGTCGTTGTCCATTTCGCAAATGTGGTGGGAATGGTTCCGAGAAACACGAGCGGTTGAGTGCGGTGGCACTGACAAGCCCAAGGGTCTCGTGCGGAGTCCCTGGCCGCTCCACTCACCCAATGATATTGTACCCTTGGGTGAGTGGAGTCTAGTCGGAGAACCTTGCTCTGTTTATTGTGACCACCTAAGGGCGCGTGTCTTTTGGAAATTATTGTAAAGTTCACGGTTTTTACTCGAATTTACATGTTTGAACTTTGGTCGACCTGTAGTCGACCATCTCGACTTTTGGAGGGTAAATCTCAGCATAAAAATAACATCAAGAACGGGGAACAACAAAGTTCGACTTCCGAAGTTCAACTCTATACAGTAAAATCCGAGTCGCGCCAGAAATTCGTAAGTTACCTGGCTTGACGAAACTTTTCGTGACCGAATCCGGATTCAGTAACGTGGTACTGTGATGTTCATGACCATCGCAGAGGTCGCATATACACTGTGCACGAGAGGAAGAACACACGTTTGGATAAACGTGCACGTGAAAATTCGACCCCAGTTCATTGTCCTTCTGTTTCATCAATCTCTGAACTTGGATTTGCGTAACCGGTTACCAGCAAAAGTTCGACCCTATTTTTGAACCTCTACACCAAAAGACACGCGCCCTAATGAGTAGCAGGCTCAACAACGCGAGCAGCCAATCATATCTTCATTCTCTCTTTCCACAATGTCAGCCGGGTCGCCGATCCAGCGGTTACCTAAGGAGCTTCTTTCTCGAATTTTTCATTTTCTGGTTCGACCTGATGGTCAGCTGCAGCACGCGCTTGTTAGCAAGCAATGGCAGCAAATTGCGTACCACGTGCAACGCGAGCTTCACTTGTCAGATACCCTCCGCATGGATCCGCGTCGTCTCGTTCAGCTTCTGTCGCCTTTCACTAACCTCAGAAAGCTTACTCTTTCCTCTGGCAACCTCACCTTGTCCCCGAATTTGTTCTTCTCTCGCCTCGCCAGCACGTGTCCCAATCTGACCGAGCTTCGTGTTGGTCCGAGATCACGTGGACCTAATTACGGAGCTATAACTGAGAAGAGCCTCCTTGCTCTGTTCGAGGGGTGTACGCGGCTGGAAGACCTGGATCTGCATTTGTCGGACCGTGCTGCCATTCCCACGTCAATTGACCGGCTCACATTGCTCAGGAGCTTGAATTTCAGGGCAAGCGTCAAGCGGCTTCCGAACACGTTCACCTCGTTACAAGCTCTAAGAAGCCTCGTGCTGAATATTTTTTGGCTCGAGGTTCTTCCTCCAGATTTCGGCAATCTGGTTTCTCTAACGTCTTTGGAGCTGAATGCTTGCCGCTTTCGGTCAACTTGTTGCTCTGAACCGTCTTCTATTGACTTGCGGCTTGACATTGCAGCTGCCTGCCTCTTTTACCAATCTTTTTTCCCTCGTCACACTTCAGATTCGAGGAAGCGAAATTCGTCTCCCGTCGCCCGTTGATTTTGGTGAGCTGCGGGGCCTCGAAACCGTAGTATTAGAAGGCGTGGCGGGAATGCGGGATCTGATAGAGGCTCTCGAGCACTCGAAGCGGATGAAAACTTTAATCGTCAAGGGTTGCCATGATATCAGGTCTCTGCCCGAATCCTTTTTTCGCATGCCTCTCACCAGTCTCACCCTCAACATGCCAGGACTTTCAGTGCTGCCCGATTGTCTCGGGCAGTTGTCAGAGCTTCGGACACTCGTGCTGGACCTCTGGGGACTCACAGCCTTCCCTGATTCCATCGCTCTGGTTACTACACTTCGAGAGCTTTCTCTTAAGAATTTCCAAGGAATGACGACATCTCCGACTGTCGAATTCGGCCATCTGGTTGCGTTGGAGAAGCTGTGCCTGAAGTGCCTTCCACATCTCACTCACCTCCACAAATCCCTTGGGCAGCTGACAGTTCTACGGGAGCTGAAAATAGTGGAGTGTAGGCAGCTGCAGCAGCTCCCGGACTCCGTATCACAGCTATCTTCTCTCGAGCACCTGGAGATTGTCAAGTGTCCGAATATCAAGGTGCTGCCAGATGACATGGGGAGCGGTCTGCACTGCTTGCGTCATCTGCTTCTGCTGGAATGCACGGCTCTCACTCACCTCCCTCCATCCTTCTCCGGCCTCACGTCTCTTGAAACCCTCAAGATTTACTTTTCGTCACACTTCAGGGGCGCCTTGTTAGACGGCTTTGGATGCTTGAAGAGCCTCAAGAAGCTGTCACTCCAGCACATGGCACGCCTATCCGCCCTCCCTGCATCCTTCTCGGGCGTTTCTTCACTCACCAGCCTGGAACTAATCAATTGCCCTAAGATAACGGTCCTGCCTGAGGGGATCGGATGGCTGGTGGCGCTCGAGGTGGTCAAGTTAGGACGGATGAACGGCTTGAAACGTCTCCCTCCGGCGCTTCTTGAGTTGCCGCGACTGCGGGTGTTGGAGGTGCAGGGATGTGAAGGGCTGGTCATGGTGCTAGGGGATGAGAATGAGCATGAATGTACCACTGGTGGTTATTTGCCCAGCAACAGCAACAGCAGCAGCAGCAGCAGCAGCGCACTGCTTCCATCCCTTCAGAGACTGAAAGTTAGGTCTAAAGATGTGGAGTCCTTTGGTCCATCCCTTGGTCGGCTCTCCTCTCTGACGCAACTGAAGCTTCTGGAGATGAACAGACTTGATTCTCTCCCTGACTCCATCTCTCACCTCTCGCATCTGCAAAGGCTGAAAATTGATTCGTCCTTTATTCTGAAAGCACTGCCCGAGACCCTCGGAGGGCTTGCAGGCCTGCGTGTGTTGCAGCTGGTGTACCTCATCTCAGTGCGGCGGCTGCCCGAGTCTCTCGGGCAGCTGAAGAAGCTTGAAACGCTGGATATCATCGATTGCTTCAAGCTGAAGCAGCTTCCAGAGTCGTTTGTGAATTTATCCAAGCTACGGTCCTGCACTCTTGTGAAGGTCGGTATCTCCACCATTCCAGATGATTTCTGGAAGCTGGCTTCCCTCCAGAAGTTGCTGATTTTGGGACTGAAGCTTGTGAGAAGATTGCCGGATTCGTTCACGCAGCTGCCTAAGCTCGAGGAGTTGGAGGTGTCTGCGTGCACGCAGCTGACCCGTCTGCCGTCTTCTCTCAGGAAAATGGCGATGCTGCGTGTCTGCAACATCAGTGAGTGCCCTCTGCTCTCCCAGCGAGATATGAGAGGGGTGAGTGCAGGGAGAGGTGAGGAGGATGGGGAGGAGGGAGACGGAGAGGGCGAGGGGAGAGGGGATGTGGAAGTGGAAGAGGGAGGTGGGGACGATGTGGTGGTGGAAATGGAAGAGGAGGAAGATGAGGCATGGGAGGCAGAGGATACTGGTTGGTGGGATCACGATGACATTGAGCATCAGTATCGCCATGACAGTGACAATGACATTATGACATTGACTTCGTAGGAGGTTTGGCTGAGCTTCTTGACAACGACTAGAAGTAAGGCTCAGATGAAAGATTAGGATTTGAAGTGTCTGAAGATTGATTCGCTGTGTTTGTGAGTTTGTTTACCTCACTGGTGCTTGAGCGTGTTATCACATTTGCCATCAGTAGGTCCTGTATCGTACTGTATCACGTGGGAACAGATTGTGAAGTAGACATGGTTTCATGTTGAAGACAGTGTTGCAGGGGTGCAGCTTGTGGATGGATTGTACCGTACAAACTCTCGACTTGTGTTGCAGATTGTGCAGTGTTGCACCATTGAAATTGGATGGGCTAATCGGACACCTACCTATGGTATGGGCCGTTTACACCATACCACCTGAAAGCAGTCCGATTACAACGTATGCTTGGTTCTGTGCAGATGGGTGGGATTACAAAATGAAAAATACATTCACGTAGTCAACCTCTTTGCACCAGAATGAATGAAACGAGGTGAAGGGAACGCCCAGAAGCTTTCGTAGTCACACACAAGCCTGATCGATACGAAATGTCAGAGGGCCCCCACAGGCCTTCCAATCGTGCGTCTGCTGCATCACGCTGACCTCCTGTCAGGGCACTTCAACCCGCAGGACTCCAATCAACCCCTCCTCTGCTGCGTGAAAACCCTGCATCCCGCGCGTCAGCCTTACGGTGCGCACACTTTTACTCTGCCCCCCTGTGGAGGCAAGCGGCATCGGCGCTACCAGTACTGCGTGGCGGCGAGAAGCGCGAAGTACGCGCAGACGAGGCGCTGCGAGATGTAGACGAGCACGGCGAAGGAAAGCGAGACGAGGGTTATGTCGCGAATGTCGCCTTTCTGCCGCGGCGTGATGAATCTCAGCAGCGACTCCACTGCGCCCGCCACTCCGCCCTTCACCCCTTCCGCGTCCTCCGCTTTCCGCCGCCTGCTGCTATCGTCGCCCCCAGTAGGCCCCCTTTTCCCCGCTCCACCATCCCTCGTGTCGTCGTCCCTCACGCCCGCCCCGCGTTGCCCTCTGCTGCCGCCATCGTCGTTCTCTCCTTGCCGCTGCTCGGCCGAAACCGTGAGGCGAGCGAGGCTGCGCCGTGATGGTCCAGAGTGAACAGACGGCGAGCGAGAGGGCAGAGCGAGGTGTAGCCGGGACAGCCGACAGCTCGAGTCGGGGCGAGCGGGCTGCAGGCGTGAGGAACAGAGAGCTGAAGTCATAGGCCAGTCTGAGTAGCAAGGTAGCTGCGTATGAGAGTAGCACGTTTGCAATCTGCTGCTAGAAAACGATGGAGCTGCCGAGTATTTCGTTGTCATCGCCATACCCAACCAAGGCAAACTGAAACACAGTGAATAAGGTGGTGCTGGAAGTAGGCCAAGTACAGCTTTTATTGCGAATATTGCTGCACGAACAAAGCTGTTCACACAGATGTAGAGTGGAGGGAATCAAGAGCAAGAGGGGGGGGCTACAAGCAGATATGTTTGACAAAAATGGTTTGGTTCGGTGACTTGAAAAGGGGAGGTGGTGGTTTGGTATGCGAAGTTCGTCCCAAAGCTCTTGCATGCCGAGCCTCTAACTCCACGCGAGCGGGAAACGGAAGTTCTCCAGGTGGGATGTGATGTGATTCGTCAAAACTCCGATGTATGAGTCAGACATGCGTCCATCCAACCCTCCCCATCGGGCTGCACAAATATCTGACAAGGGCTGGTTTCTTGTAAACCAATAGTGGTAGTCCAAAAGTATATCATATAACATGAAACACTTTGAGAAAAAAATGCCAAACTGCTACATATGAGTTACCAGTATGCCAGAAACTGTTCCTGATGAAAGTCTAATCGACACCAAACAATTTCTTGCTCATCTCCCTTAAACGATACTTTTCATATGATCACAGCCTGAAAATTGGTTTATTTCGTTATGTAACATGAAATTTGTATATGTAATTGTATGTAGATTAGGTAGTGTAGTATCATCCTATTCCTCTCTAGATGGTGTACTTCCCCTTTGCCACCTTGCCTTTTGCTCTACTATATCTTGTATCTCTTCCCATATTGCAAACCCCTTTTTGGCCAACATCTCTCTCTTCACTACCTATCATAGGTACTCCCTAAGCTCCTACGTCTGAAGGTTATCACCTTTTTCTGACATGGTATCAAGAGCTACCACGGTTTAAGGACCTAAGTTTTATATTTTAGTGGAGCTCGTTGCAGCGCCCGTGAAGGGGCTCGTCGCGACACTCGCCCGCTGCTCGCACCGCGCTATCCGACCCGTGCACTGGTCGCCCTGTCCCACGCGCTCTCTTGCCCCGTTTCGCCACGAGCAGCAACAGCCCCGCGCGAAGCCGTGCACAGCTGCGCACGCGCCAACGCTGCCGCCAATGCGCACGTTAGCGACCAGGGCCAGCGCGCACGCCAGAGGCATGCGCCAGCGCGTACGCCAACGCCTGCACCAGTGCCATTTGCCAGCGCCATTCGCCAGCGCCAGCGCCAGGGACGGCCACCAGCGACCAGCCCCAGCGCGAACGCGTTCACCGACGCCAGCCACCAGCGCCAGCACCGGCACCAGCACCAGTTGCAGCGTACGCCGCCCCCTTCCTGCCGCGGCTTCCGCCGTGGGGAGGGGGGAGATGTGGGGGTGGCGGGTGTGACCAGCTAGTAGCGGTCCCTCCCCTCTCTCTTCCTTTCTCTCCCTGCAGCACTTTGTTGTTGTGGGGGGGAGAGTGGGGGGGAGAGAGGTCGAGGGGGGATGAGAGCATCTCCTATCGTTTCTCTCGCTTCATTCCTCCTCCTCCATCTACGTTCCCCTGCATCTCGTCTTGCTACTCCCCCCCCTCCTCGTTACCGTCTTTACTTGGCATGTTCGCTCCACCGACGTGCACACCGAGCATTCGTTGCGGGTGTTAAACCGCAGGTGTGCACAGCTGTGGGAGTCAACCACCGTGGTCCAGCTGTGGCTCGATGACTACACAACTGTGAGTGACTGCCTCTCACTACCGAGTCGTGCATGCAGTTAAGGGGGGGTGTAACTTGTATTTGTTACTTCATGTAGATTAGGTAGTGTAGTATCATCATATTGCTCTCTAGGTGGTGTACCCCCCCTTTTCCACCTTGCCTTTGCTCGACTATATATTCTATCTCTTCCCATATTGAAAACCCCTTATTGGCCAACATCTCTCTCCATTACCTATTTGAAGGGCATTTTCCTACGGCCCCTTATCAGGCCAACCTCTTATCAAGCTCATGTCAAAACACACTCAAAATTCTCTAAACCCAAAAACCATCGCTACTTTTTACCAGGCAAGGCTGACAAGAGGTTTGCCCTAAGTAAACCCTTGGTTCCTAAGTCCTAGGGTTATCACCTTTTTGTGACACATGAATTTGTACGTGCTACCCAAAGATACTATGATGATGCTATTGAAGGTCATTAACATGTTAACATCACAAATCAGATAGCAAGTCAATCATTCTTTTTTTTCCACCCTACGAATGGAGACGACTAAGAGCAAGAAGAGCAGCAGCGTAACAAGATTGCCACATGAAGCGTGCATTGTGCTGCGCAGTGAAGGTCGCACAGAAGCACCAGCAATAGCCGCAGCTGCAGACGCTGCACCAACAGCTGCCACAGCTGTCGTCGTCACTTGTGAGTGGTTTGAGGACCCTTGGACTTCCTTCCTCTCCTCCTGACCGTTTACAGTCTTGTCCTGCTTATGGTCCTACGTTTCCTCCATCGGACTCGGCTCCCGTTTGATCTCCTCCTCGGTCACGGCCGCCTCCTCCTATTGTGCAGTCCCGGTGGACCAGTTGTGATTTCCCTTGGCGCTCGTCCCTCGTCTCGTGTTCAAGCTCGGATCTGTTTTCTGATGGCCTACTCCTCTTCTTTATCCGCATCCATGTTTCCTCCCGTTGCCTCCTCACTTAGCTCTCACCTTTTCCTCACTTCCTCTTATCGTCTACTACCGTACTGCTTGCGCTATTGTCTCTAGTGTTCTCGACTACCTTGTCACATACAGTACTGCGTCTTCGTCGTCTCTCTTAGCTCTAGTTGCCGCAGTCACTGACTTTGTTGCCGCCACCCGCTGCCTTGATTACGCCACCCGCTTGGTGACTTCTCTTTCTACCCGTCCCCAGTACGCCGGAGGTGAGTGCACCTTGGCTGTGACATGGAAAAGGACATCGACTTCAAGCTGGAGTTACTAGCAGGTGCTTCTCCTCATCTCTGTGCCATGCGGCTCGCCCGTGAGACACCGTAATGCTCTTGACATCCTGACTCCTCGCACTTATGCTGAGGCGATTGTGGGCCTCTAAGTGGATAGAAGCCATGGAAGCAGAAATGACTTCTTAAAGGTTCACAGGTACGTACGTTGGCGCAGTTCCCCTCCCAAGGGCGAACATAGTCGATGACATGTGGATCTTCAAGATGTAGCAGCCACCTGGATCGCTGCGCAGCCACCTAAACCATTGTCCTCCTGACTTCACTGGTATATTCCCGCCTGAGACCAATTGGAGTTTGAGACGATCACTTTAGGGTCTCCGACAGGTGCCTCGTGAGTGGCATGAAACTCTTCACTCCACTCTTGCGTATCTCAATTTCAGTCATTTGACTACAGACCCGTCGCCGTTTGTTCGTTCTAGATTTACTCCTTTCTTTGTCCTTGTATATGTCGAGAACCTGGTTTTCACCATAGTAGACACAAAGCCCTGGCTTCAGTGAAGTCCGAACTACAGAATAGACACACGTGCACTGACCTTGATGAGCTGCGCAGCTACCTTGGCTTGAGGATCACTAGGAACAGAGACGCACTCACCATCACTCTGACTCAGTCGCACATGGTGCAGCATGTCCTTCTGCGGTTTGAGCTTCAATTCACCACCACACAGCCCGCTCCTCTTGCTGTTGACCATAGACTGACTGGTCTTCTTCCCGATGAGCCTTTGAGCCTTGTGGTCCTTACGCCGAGCTTGTGGGTTGCCTCATGTACCTGCGTCCATGTCCTCGTCCGGACCTCGCTTACCATCTCAGAGTCCTGTCTTGCTTTGTAGTGACTGTGAGAATCGTCTTAGATGCCAGCTACAAAGGTAACGAAGGTACTGTTGATTGTGTAGGTGGTTGTGGTATTTTGCTCTAGCTGGTTGTGGGCTAAGGGTTTGGGCAAAATGTGGTGGTTAGACTTGTTGCGGGCTGGAATTGATCTCGCACCCAACAAGCACCAACAAACCTTTGCTATTCACTACAACACCTTTGGTGTTGCAAATTAGCACTTTGGGTTTTTGGGGATTGTTGTAAGGCGAGAGTTGGGTTGGTAGGGTTTGAACAACTCGTCACTTTTCAGATCTGAACTCTTTCGAAAGCTACCTTCTTGATTTAATCCATGGCTGCCTATTGATTCCGCCAGAATACCCCGTCGCACTTAAATCGCGATAGCGATCGGCCTAGATCTTCGTTGAAGGCGTGCGTTACCATTCTGGAAAGTAGAGATTAAGACATTTCCAACGCGTACCTGCTCATAGTTTAAGGTTACGTGAGCTGCACGCAATATTCCGTCAAAGTCGGCGGACTTAATCTCTTGTTACGCTCTCCAGATTCGCTCGCTTTCCATCAGGTACCTGGCGACTTCACTAGGAATGGGGCTAGTTCTTGGAGGGACACAGCCAGTGCGACGTACTAGACACTGTGACTCGTCATACGCCAGCCCTTTAGAGACCAACTGGTCGACTCAAGTGTACTGTTTCAGGTTCGGCTCTAGAGCTGTGTCATAGAGGTACTCGGTCATCGTATGTGGCGCAATCGAGCGCTAAAGCCGGGATATACGCAGGTGCAATCGCTGCTGATTTTCTTACCCACTGACGTAGGTGAACAACCTATCTCTGCACCGACCTTGTTCACTAAGGGAAGTGGAGGTGGACCAACAGCACCGCGAACCGGAAGGCAACGGCTTAGTACAGAGGAGCTTCTTAAGGCACAGGAAGCATGGGACCGCAAGGACAAGCAAGCGTTCCAGTACCTGTGTTGGGCCTTGGAAGGCCATCTACACCGCACTCCAGGGGCTGGACCAAGAAGCAAACGAGGCTCTACTACAATACCTTCACCTAGAGCAGCAGAAATG